GATACAGGCTGGGCAGGTTGCTTTGGAAAAAGTTTGGCAATTCCTCAAAAAGCTAAACACAGACTTACCATTTGATCCAGCAGTTCTACACTTAGGATATACCTAAGAGGAACGAAAACATGTCTATCCAAAAACTGCCCACAAGCGGTACTATTCATAAAAGACCCACAGTGGAAACCACCCAAGTGTCCATCTACTGATGATGGAACAAATAAAATATCCATGTAACAGAACATTCCTTGGCCATGAAAGCAATGAAGCGCTGACAGGTGCTACAGTGCAGATAAACATTTTTCTGTAAAAGTAACTCTTTTTTTTTTTGTAAAAGCAACTTTTATTCTAACTTTTATTCCACTGGTTCAGCTGTTGTCTTGGAGGTTTACTGCCTCCTTCTGCCAGCCTAGGCCTAGTCCTGGGAGCTTCTAGCCTCCATACAATCTAACCTAGGCCTCGAATGTTTTTAGCCTCTGAGACTTACTGCTGAATAAGCTCACCCTTTCTTCATCTTGCTGAGCTCTGGGCTGGCTGGTTCAACTCAGCTGTTCTGGCTCAAACTCCTCTCCCAGCTGACCTATTCAATCTGGCTTTTCTCTCGGCCTCTGAATTGCTGTTCTTGGCCTCAAACTAATTCAAGCAATCTGCTCTAATCTTCTGGCTCCTTCTCACTTTCTGGCTCCTTCAATCCTCGCCTGTGTTCTTTCTCTACAACCTGCCTCTCCATTACTGTCCCAGTAAAACTGCCTCCTCTCCTTGCCCCTTTCCTCTCTCTTCTTGTGAGTTGGCCGTATCCTATTCTGTCAAATTTCCTCTGATCTTTTTTTTTTTTTTTTTTTTTTTCCTGCTACTCAATTAAACAACACTTTCAAACATGGGCTTCCTTCTACAAACTAACTTCACCTTCATTGTTTGCGATTAAAGGTACATACCACCACACCTGGACCTAAGCTTTTCTTTACCTGAAACCTGCTCTATACCAGGCTGGCCTGGAACTCAGAACTCCTTGTCTGTCTCCTGGATTAAAGGCGTATTTGACTTCCAGCTGGATCAGATAGACCCAAAAGGTCTTTGGATGTGCTCTCTTGCCAGAACAGCCATGTTCTTAATTAAAAGTCCTCTATATTTTACTAAGTGAAAGAAGCTAGAAACAACAGTACACATGGTACTTAAGAGGCAAAGCCAGAGTGAAAGTAGACCCATAGCTTCCTGAAGTGATCCATAGAGGGGAAGAGAAAATCGAGGAGTGGTTACTGAAGGGAACAGGGTTTCTTTGGAAGTGACAGAGTTATGATCATTGTGCAATTACATATATGGGAAAACATACTAACTTGTATATTTTTGTTTTCTTTTGATGACCTGTGTTAATTTTTTTTTTAGATTTTTGTGTGTATGGGTGTTGGCCTACCTTTATGTTTGTGTACTGTGTGCATGTGGTACCATTTCTGGAGGCCGCAAGAGGCAGTGGATCTTTTAACTGGAGTTAAAAAAAACTATTGTAAACCTCCAAGTGTGTGCTGGAGGTGCAACCAGGGTCCTCTGGAAGGGCAGCCAATACTTTTAACTGCTGAGCCACCTCTTCCTGCTTAAGCCTTTCAAGTTCTGAGATTACAGATATGTACCACACTGAAAGAACTAGACACGTTAAATGGGTGAGTTTCATAATATGTGGATTATATCTTAATAACGGTATTATTTCAAACAAATTAGAATCGTGTGAGGAAAACCTCCACAAGAAAGAACCTAGAGGGAATAGAGACAAAGACAAATAATAAGGGGATAAGACAAGAATGAATGGATTAGCAAACAAGAATGAGCTCTGGGGAATGAAAAAAATGCCTACACCTCAAAAAAGTTTAATACAATGCTGAATGATAAAATCGAGGGAATCTTCAATAAAGTGGTATTAAAAGAGATAAATGGCAAGCTGTTGTGATTATTCTGAAATATGTGTTTGATTTTTATTGTAGCTTGAATGTGAAGTGTCCCCCACAGGCTCACATGTTCTCCAGCTGGTGGCACTGTCTGGGAAGGTTGTGGATGGTTTAGGAAGTGGAACCTCAGTGGAGGAAGTGGGTCACTGAGAACAAGGCTCGAGGTTTTATAGGTAGGTACTTCCTATCTACTCTCTTCCTTCTCTGAAGGGGACACAATATGAAGGGCTGCCTCACAGCCCTGCCGCCTTGACTTCCCCACCATGAGGGACTACGTCTCTTGTGGCTCCGCGAGCAAGGATAAACTTTCCGTAGTTGCTTTGGCCACAGCATTGAGAAATGTAACTAATACAGCTATTTCCTAAATACAGCTCTAACCAGTAAAGCTCCCCAAACCTTGTCATCGTTAACGGTAGACTCCTACCTGCTGGCTCCTAGGCAGAGGCTGGGTTCTGGTCATCCGAAAGACCATGGTAGGATTAGAGGGCTGGAACTTTTCAGCTGTCTCCTCAGCTCTGGGGAAGAGAAAGGAACTGAGGGGTACATTGCCTTCCATGGCCAGGACGGCTTCAATCATGTTGTCTTGGTTAGCTTTTTATTGACCTGACCCAAGCTAGAGACCTCTGGGAAGAGGGACCCCCCAACTGAGATGATGCCTTCTTCAGATTGGCTTGTAGACAAGTCTATATATAGCATTTTCTTGATTAATGATTTATATAAGAGAGTCCAGCCCTCCAGGAGGTGGTGCTTCCCCTGGATGGGCAGTCCTGGGGTGTATAAGAAAGCAGGTTGAGTTCTTGGCATGGTGGCAAAAGCCTTTAGTCCTAGCACTTAGGAGGCAGAGGCAGGGATATTCTGTGAGTTCAAGGCCAGTTTGGCCTATGTATTGAATTTCATGCCAACCATCGCTATATTGTGAGACTGTTTAAAAAGAAAACTCGCTGAGCAAGCCACGGAGAGTAAGCCAGTAAGCAGCACCCCTCCATGGCCTCTGTGTCAGTTCCTGCCCTCAGGTCCTTGCCATGCTTTAATTCCTGCCTTGACTTACTTCAGTGATGGACTACTTCAGTGTGGAAGTGTAATCCAGACAAACCCTTTTCCCCCTGGAGTTGCTTTGATCATAGAGTTTCATCCCAGTTGTAGCAACCCTAACAAGGACAAACAAACAAAATGTCAAAGAAACTATATCACTGCATTTCTAAAAATCAAAGGACCAGAGTCTCGAGGATGACAGCTCTGAGTGTTGAAGAAGAACGGGGGCAACAATCTCTGGCAAGGACCATCTTCATGAAGGATTAAGAGAACATCTTGGATGCTTCTCAGAGAAAGCAGCCACCAGGTGTGAGGAGCAGAGCTGGGGGTACACCCATAACTGTGAGACTTGGTTTGAGCCAACGGCAGGAGGATCATGAGCATGAGGTCAGCTATATAGCATGACTGACTCAAAGCAACCAGACAAACAGATGCCTTAGATGTCTTAGATGCCTGTGATGCTGGAAGCTGTGATGCTGAGTTTTTACTTTAGAATTTTATGCTAAAGCACATTTTCAGTTTGGTAGGAAAAGGGGTATTTATTTTCATTACACAAAAAGATCTCCCATCTGGCAAAACTAGGATCCAGCACAGGAAAAGAGACAAAGAGGACTCCAGAGATGACAGCTGTTTGTCAGGGTTAGAAAGCAACCTCATCCATACTGTGGGAGGACAAGGCATTTGCACTCTTGGAAGGAGCCTGGCTCTGGGCAGATGCTTTGGAGAGACTCAAACATGAAACAAAAGGCGGGGGGAGGAACTTCCACCCCATAAAAAAGGAAAAACTCAAACAAAACCAAAACCTCTGAAAATTTAAAGAGAGTAATGGAAATTAAAATATTTAAAATAAGCAAATAAAGATAAATCACTAAACTATGTTGAGGATATAACGGAAATCCCAGAACAAAGCAGAAGGCAAGAATGGTTGTTTGGAGAGAAGGAGCAAGAGATGGAAGATTTTTTTTTAATGTACTTTTCAAGAACTCACGTAAAGCTGGGTGTGATGGCATAGACCTTTCCTTTTAGCACACAGAAGGCTAAGGCTGGACCACTAGAGAAGGGAACTGGGAATGAAGAGACATTTGTGTCATTCCAATGAGATGTCCTCTGTAAGCACAGGCATCAAATGCTTGGTCCCCAGTTGGCAGTGTTTAGGAGTCTTAGGAGGTGTGTCACTAGAGGCAGGCTCTGAGACAAGGCCATTCTAAACTGCAAGCCCAAATAAACTCCTTCTTCTATAAGCTGCCTTGGCCGACGCATTTCATCACAGCAACAAAAGATAATATATGGTCTGTCTACAGGATGAGAAAAAGATCTGTGGCCTAGATTAATACCGAGGATTTATAATATTAAACACCAAAAAAGAAAATAAATTAAATAAAAAGGCAGACTGTAAAATCAATAAAGGACTACTAAACAGAACAAAGACGAAACACATTGGCCGATGATTACTTTAAAACTGCACTCAGCACCTGTAGCCACCAGGGTCAGGGCATCTAGCTACTTCTCCAGCATCCACAGCCCGAGGGGACACTGCATATTCAGACCTTACAGTGCTGCTCTTCTGTGGCTGTCATGACAACAAGGTGGAGCTGAGCTGTTCACACTGGAGCTTATCGCCATCTGTACTTGAATCTCAGTCCTCTCAAAGCCCTAGCCAGGTCTGTTTTCTCCCTGGTTTACAGGTGGTGCCACATGATGGGTCTCGGGTCTCTGCCTCTGATGTTGGAAAGCTGCATCAGGGAGGCTCCGGCATTCTCTCACTATGTTAGATCGACCTTACAAGTTCCAACAAAACACCAACAACAGAGAGGCTTGGGTTTAAAGTTTTAATAAGAAATTGTGCCAGTAGAAGCTTTCAAAGGCAATGATATATCAATAAATAATAGTTAAGTTGAGTTCCTGAGAAAGAACCTACCACATGAAACTATGTCAGGGCGCTGTAAGTAACGAGGCACTAAACACAATAGCAAGAATACTGTAAGTCACGATACAAGCGCAGCAGACGCCAGAATATGCCATCC